ATGGAAATTTTAACAAAATTTATTGAGCCAAATTTAATTGGGTAAATTTAAACATAAAATTTAGAATAATTTTTAATTTTCTTTATAGATCATATCATTCTTATATTAATTTTATAAAATTTATATATGTATAATCAATCATCTATTGAATATAATAATTCAAAATAATAAAAACAATGCATAATGTAACATCATTTGAAATAAATTATTTGGGACTTGATTCTGAAGAGTTTGCCAAATTAGAACTTTTTACTTCAGAACAACGTACATTTGCTTGGCTGCTTATTCTAATAGAATATTTTGTACAATTTATTAATATACCTTTTGGGATAATTTGTATAAGACTTCTTTATTCGACCAGTGTAGGTTTAATAATTTTGTTTTAAGTTTATTATTATTGTTTCAATTTGAGTTTTTATGACTAGCTTTAAATCATAGAACTTTAATTAAAGTTATATAACATTTTAGAAATCGAAGATCATTGAAAATGAGTCGGTTTTTTGAATCGTTTTTTTAAACTCGGACCGAAAAATCAGGTTTTAAGAAATTGGATTAGCTAGCAGAAAATCCCTGGTATAATTTTATAACCAATTGTGGTTTTAGCTTATGATCAGAGGTGAATCGGAAATCGGAAATGTCTCAAAAGTCGGAGCTCGGAAGTTGGAAATCGGAATTACGATTCACCTTTGCTTATGATAGTCATATCTTACTATGAGAGTCGTTTTATTACTTATTAATGTATAAATTATTCTCAAGTATAGGAAAATTCAAATATTAACAAAACCTTCAACTGCATTTAAATTCTGATTAATATATTTAAGCTACTCCATCGTAACCTCAAATTTATTTTAATAACACAAAGCGGAATAATAATATTTGAAGCATTAATCAGGCTATTCTTCGTTGGTCCAATAAAATATTTTACGGGGTCATTTTTTGGTTTCAGACTGAATTTAGGTATTTTATAAAATTATTTGGATTTAGAAAATTTATTTGAAGATTTACAACAATAAAATTTCTTGTGCAACTTCCCATATTTTCTCGCATGATATTTTGTCATCTAATTATCATTGAAAGAATTTGTGCCACAGTTTTTATAAAATGTTATGAAACTAAAAACGGAAGAATATTTACAGCCTCATGGATTTTTATTTCTGTAGGACTTTTTAATTTTTCCGGTTATTTTATCTCAAATATTGAGGTTACTTTTTACGAATGGAGATATCAGAAATAATTTTGAGTGTTATTTATGACAGCCCAACTAGCCAATAATCCCACAACCATCCTTTGATCATAACTTGTTTATACAACGATATAACATACATAAACTTAAATTCGTGATTTTTGTTTTAAGGATTCCCGGCCCCGTTTTTCGGAATCGGTTCCGTATATTTGAAAATTTTTTTTTTCGGGAATTTCCAAATTCGGGAGTATCTTATGCTCATCCTTCCAATTTCTAAATAATTTCACAATTACTTTCAGTTAATTTTCTCAGTATTAAACTTTATTCATAACGAAGAAGATGAAGCAAATGATAATTTATCTTCTCAAAATGTAACATTATCTAGTGCAATAATTGCTATATTGCTGGCTTTAATAGGATTATTTGAAATTATTGTACTAAAATTTATATCGAATAAATACTTAATAAAATTTTTAGTTGATTGGAGTAATATGGAGGTACAACAAGAATAAATTAAATGAATTTTCAAATTCAAGTCAATTATCTATAATTGGAGGTAAACCTGTTGTTGTTATAAATGTTCATAGGAGAACATCTGAATATAAGCTGAAAAAGCGTTATCAGGTAAATTATAAAAGTTTGTTAGGGATTTGGGTTGGATATCGGTTGCGTATATTTGAAAATTTTTGCTCCGAAATCAATGTGGATATTGATGATTTTCGCGAGGTTATGAATTCACCTGTGGCGCAGAAAATTTATTTAAGATTAAGAGGTATATCATGAGATTAAAAGGTGAAAAGTTCCATGGAAGAAGTCGCGGTTCGGGGATGATGTCATCATTCCAATAGGTGAGTAGGACTTTATTGGGAGAAAGTTCGAAGATTTTGAGGAAAATAAAATTAAATAAATATATAATAGAATTTTCGATGATAAAATTTTTCTAATTTACATTTAATTTTTAAAGTATTTGGAAAACATGCGCAGCGCATTGCAATTGGCGCCAACAATTCTTGCTTATTTCGTCGCGGGTGTTTCTACAGCATTTTCACAAACATTTTATTCAATTATCTTTGAAGCAGATGACTTTACATGTGAAATAATTGTTAGTTTACAAATAAATAATGAATGGCTCTCGTAATATTATATAGGTTAGGTATAACAGGATTATACATATATTCACAAAATGAGACCCCGGAATTAAGGAGCTAAACAGCAATTGGAATAAACGTCATAGATCTCACATTATCATGCTTATACTTGTGTTTTCTTTGGTATTTCCGAGAGTTTGCAAGGTCCACAAACACAAGAAAACAGTATATCCAAAGAAGAAGGTTTAATACAAATCTTAAAGATGGATTTCATGTTGGATCAGGAGATCACGAGTAGATCTTAAAGTATGATCAAATTGGAATAACGATGGACTGCTCTATAAGTGTGTCAAATGTTATTCTACCTTGTAGATTTGATTGGGTTTAAACAGAGGTTGATAAAAATATACATATGGGTTTATGAGTTATTTATTAATAGTTATAGAAAAATAAATCAGAAATACCTATATGAAAGCAGCAAAAATAAAAATTTAAATAATTTTAGTCACAATTGAACAATTTGCTTATTGCGTTTATTAACTTTTCATTAATTTCTACGACAATTTTGTAAGCTAAAAATATTTTTTATTCCATTATTAAATCAAATCTTTTTAGTTTTCATAAAATTCTAAGAAAGAATTTCTTCAAAATTTTTAACCAAATATTTTGTTGTGCTCCAAAAATAAAGAAATCTCTGGAGAAGAGTACAATAAATAAAATTACTCCAACTGTGGCCCAACAACAAACTGAAAAATATTTTGCAATGTTGAAAGGGACATGGGATTAATAATTATAAAATTTATAAAAAATATATTTTGATTTAAATAATCATGTAAATTTAATATAATTTTAAAAATTATGTATAAAATTAGTGTTGCATGAGGGCGATCTAAAAAATCTAGACAGAAGATCACCGAGATTGAAAAAGACAGGTTGACGGTCAGATTTTAGTCGAGGTCCAAGGTTTGAGGATAACTGAGGTTTTTTGAAAAAATTTAAACGGCTAAAATAGAGTACGTCGAGTACCGAGGAATTGGGAAAAATCGAGTATGAGTAATGCCGAGTAGTATGATGCCGAGTTCCGAGCCCGTCTAAAGCCGAGAAACCCGGGCGATAGAGTTGAGTATAATCGAACAAGGACGTACGCTAGTTTAAAATTTAATTAGATTTGCTAAATTTTATCACATATGTATCAATGGAGCAAAAAAAGTGAATTTTTTGGCATACGCCTTACAAAATTTTGAAAATTTGAATTTTACTCAAAAACTATTTTTAAACATATTATTTATGCATCTTTCAAAAATTTTTCAACATTAAATTTGTTACAATCCTTATCGTTCCAAAATTTATTTAAATCAATTATATTCTTTGATTTTTCTTCAAATTGTTTAGTAGCATATTCACATATTTTGCATATTGGAGAATAATCATGGCCAAATCTTCTTTTTGTATATGTCTTTGTCCATTCAAAATGTCTTTATTTTAATTATTTAACTTTACTAGGCTGAATAAATTAATGCTCCCAAACTAGTTATATTTTTGTAAGAGGAAGCGGAAACACATACACAATTAGTAAAACTTTATGAAGCTCTTTTAGATAAAGATTTTTCCGAGCCATTTGATAACAAGATCGAGCCCTTAAAGAATCTTAATTTTTATAATCGAACTAAACGAGAAATCGTTAGGTATTTTCACTACTCGAACCCCCGTACATTTTTGGGTACTAAAAACCTCTAGTTTAACTAAGATTGAGTTTTATCTGACTGTTCACTAATTTTTAAAGGTTACTTTAAATATCTTTCCGTATCATTTTGCAAAGCCTTTAGATGCGCAACAAATTCATTTACTGATTTAAAATCATCCAAAGCAATAAATGCATTAGAAGGAACATCCATTCCTTCAAAAACAGATCTACTAAAAACTACAGGTACAGTAAGTGATCTTAACGAATTCCAAAATTTTTCTGTTACATAATTGTGACAAATATTATTCTCCAATGCCAAATAGAACATGTGGGTTTCTAAAAATTATTTATTATACATAAGTTTACGGAAACTAAAGGTTCAAATTCTATCCTTAATTTGGGGCCCTATAAATACATATGTATGAATACATTCAGGGATCACTCGGTAAAAATGAATTTGGCCTGCAAATTCGGCAGCTAATGCCTTGTTGCCTTTTTTAATCAAATTCAGGTTTACCTAAACTACGGTTATAGCATGCATCATCGCAACCTCTTCTACCATAACACACACCAACAACCTCCAAATCCATTAATTTTTGTAGTTTTTTAGAAATAAGATCACGACCAGATTCAGAATTACAATGAGATATTGCTTGGAAAGCTAATTTTGTTTTGTTCTTAACTATTGCCAGAACCTTTAATTTAAAACATCTTCATATTTGAGTCACAATTAGTAATTTTTTTCTGTTTTATTTAAATTTTGATTAATCAAACGTGGAGTAGATACCTAGGCGATTCCCTCTAATGATACACCATCATAATTTTTCTGCACCGTTTGTATTTTAAATCTCTTTACCTCCTTTTGATCCCAAATATATTCTTTTGGAGTAGTTGGAGTAATTCTCGTTAAAGCATCATAAGGCATAAATACAGAACTATCTAAACGATAAGTTGCTGTACTATTGAAAAATTTGTTTGTTAGAAATTTTCTGTCATAATATTTTAAGGTGGTCTGTATAGGAGATTCAACTGTAAACATCATATAATTTTGATCTTCTCTACGATTTTGAGGCCATGAATTTATTGCACAGAATGTATGAAGCAAGAAGATTGTTGTTGATGCGTTTGTCTCGCTTAATAAAATTAAATTTATTAGTAATCACTAGAGATGGGCAAGACTCTTTGTCTTAAGTCTTGTCTAAGCTTTTATTGGATTTTTTCGATCATGAAAGAGCTCAACAATGGTGGCTCATTCTTATTTGTCAGTAGGGTTTTTTCTATAAAATTTATAATACAAAATTGTATTTATTTTATCTCAAACTAAAGTAACTTTTACTTACGCTAGATTTACCCATAAGGTTTCATTCCGTTTCAAAGTAAGGACACAATTACATCCCAGTCTTGCAGATATAGCAAAAATTTAAAGTATCAGACAGTGGATGGAAGGGTTTTTTCTTAGAAAGATCAAATCTATCCTATCTTTGCTATTTTCTGTGATAGGCTCGGCCGTCTTTTTTTATTTAAATCAAAACATACAATTTTCTATTGGTAGTAAAAGTACAATTGAACGGACATTTAATGTTTGAATTGATCACTGGATAATCTGGATAACCAATTCCTTGACTTGTTACGCGAATACATTTATTCCAAATCAAAATTGGTGGCATTTTCTGCTTTTTACTTGATATCTTAATTAATTTTTTAATTGAAAATTGAAAATTATAATGTGTGCTATCTTTTAAACTATTGATCGGAGACTTACGATGATCCTCATAAATCCCTCATAAAATCCAGGGTCCCTGAAACTAGAAAATATTTAATAAGTTACCGATTTAGATGATTTGAAAATATAAAATTGATCATGTTGGTTATAAATTAAATAAAATAATGCAGTTAATATTAGGATTATGAATAAAATTAAATAACAAATAAATTTTGAGAGATCCATTAATTGCTACATATTATGAAACAAAAAATAATTTAATAAATAATCTTTAAGCTTTATAAGTAAATCTTTTTATTTATTTTAGCTAAACCACGTTACATAATTTTAAAAAATTTCATTTTCCTTTCTCTTTAGATCATTAACGTATACTTAAACGTACTATATTCTACTAGAAGAATCAACACACAAATGAACATACAAATATTGACATAATGTAAATTAAATTGAAAATATTCATAATATACTTTGAAGATTTTCTAGGGACCGCGGCTCATTTATTAATTTTTTAATTTTATTTATAACGAACACCAAAAGGTACATACATACTACAAAATGCACACTTACAATAGATAATAAAAAACTATAAAAATAAATACATTAGTAAATTATAATGCTCAAAAATAGCTAAAAAATTTTTTTAAATAAAATGAAATGTGCCAAAAAATTATGTTAGTATATAAAAAAATGACAAGAGTAATGTGATTATACATACATATTTAAGAAAAAATGAAGATAAAACCCTTAAAGAGCAAAATCTACACAATTAGCTAATAATCTAAATTTCTTAGGGTTTGCACACATCCATTTGCGGATTCCTGAAAATATCCCAACTTATTCAAATCCTTTAAAATTTAATAATTAAACTGCTCTAGATGATTTGAAATATAAAATTAATCACGTTCGTTATAATTTAAATACTATAATAAAGTTAATATGTATTAACATTATAAATAAAATTAGACAACAGATAAATTTTGAAAGATCCATTAATTTTGGTTATGAAACAAAAAAGTCAAAAAATGAAATTATAAAAAGTTATTCACAATAAATATTATGCAAATCATTCACTATAAATATATATGTATATAAATATAGGTATTTACACGTGAAAATTTTTATATTTTCTGAAAATTGTTCTTTAGTCTCTCATTTTCACTTTCATTTTTTTGGTACTAAATAGTGGGGATTTTAGGACATTATTTGGAATTTAACCCAGCAAAGATAACCTATAAACACCGAATTATCGAAGTTCATATTTCCCAATGAGCAATCCAAATCGACGAAAAATAAATGAAAACTTTTGTTAACAAACAATTTTTTTCGATAAATTTTTAATAAAAGCACTCGCCTTTTTCTCATCTAATAATAATCTTAAGCAAATAAAGAATAAAAAAAGCTATAAAAATGTTCGCCAACACTAAAATTTTAACATTGATTATTTGAATGAAAATAAATTTTAAATGAAAATTTCTTTCTAAAATTTCTCTTTTTTAAACTTCAATTGAAAAGTTAATTGAGCTAAGTTCATTTCAAGATGCATGGATAAGCTATAAATTTACGAATTTTAATGTAGTTACTTATAATTAAACAGGAACATGTAGATCCAAATTAATCAAAGTGTGATTTTAAAAATTGTAAAAGTACACAAACATGAACCTCAATTTCAAAAACAATCTTGCATTAATTTCTAATAAATTAGTATAACAAGTTTACTACAGACGAGTTAATAATTCTTATAAAATAAAAATTAAGATAATATAGGATTTTTAAAGATAAAGTCAAAAAACTAAATATACTCGGCTCTGGTCTCGGTATATGAGTTTGTATACAACCAACAATAGTTTTGCATGGGTTTTGAATAGCGATACAAACATTTGCTGTAGCATTACAACTAGAGATCGGACCGTACCGTACTACGGCCGTATTTTTCGGTATTTATCGGTATTCCGTATCGGTAATACGGTACGGAATACGGTACGGTAAAATTTTGAAGTTTATCGGTATTTTTCGGTATCGGTATTTTTCGGTATTCCGTACCGTTTTACGGAACGGAAACAAAACAAAATACCGATAATACCGATCGATAAAATTTATTAAAGTTTTATTTTATTTTAAGCGAAAAAAGGCTCTCGGCCTTTGATAATTTTCAAAATTTTCGCCTGCGGCGCTAAAAAGGAAAAAATTTTGCTTCTTTGACATACATCTTCTCTAAATTTTTGTCTGCGTGTGTTTATCCCCACTATTTATAAATAAAAATAATTATTTTTAACTAAATTAGTTTTTTAAAATACGGTACGGAATACCGATAAATTTTTATCGGTATTTATCGGTATCGGTATTTTTCGGTATTCCGTACCGTTTTACGGAACGGTAAAATTTTGAATTTTATCGGTATTTTTCGATATCGGTATTATCGGTATTACGGTACGGAATACGGTACGGAACAAAATTCCGATCTCTAATTACAACTATTGGTGTTCGGATCGGAGGTTTTGCTAGAAAAATCGGGTTTCGGAGAACGGGGTATCTTAGTTAAAAGATTGGAAGATATTAGTTATATGTATGTATGTATTATTCCTATTATTTTTAACATTTTATTTTTGCTTTATTATAATTTTATTAAAATAATAATTAAATAATTTTATTAATTTTAAAAATAAATAAGTATATATTTTAGGTAATAATTTTCTTTAAAATTTATTGTGTTGTTGTGATTGGTTGCCATGCATTTGTATTAGATGATGTCATTCCCATTCCAAAAAGTAAATTTTGTGAAGTAACATTTAATGTGTTACTTGGAGAAACTCCTGTAGATGCAAAACAACTGGCTGCCAATTGCTGTATTTGTTGCTGCATTACTTCATTCATCGAAGGACCTCTAGCAATTAAATGTGAAGTAGTATCTAATAAAGATGATGATGAAGAAGAAGATGGTAATACTCCCATTGATGAAATATTGAAATTGAATGGGGAATTGGAGAAATTTGATGGCTGAAATTTTTTAAATTTATATTTGATAATTAAAATTAAGGTAAAATTATGTTTGAGGCCTTAGAATCTAATATGGCCGATAGTTCAATAGTTACATAATTAAAGTGATTTAAAATTCACAAATTTAGAATTCGAGAATTGGAACAATATGTTAATTCATCCCACCTACTGTAACTGTCTAACAATGTTAAACATAAGTTAAGGTCGGACCTTAAGACACTTCGTTTTTCCGTATAATTATTTATTATTTAAAATGACATACTCCAGGCTTTGCTTGATTAAAGATGAGAGAGTTTCGCGCAGTTTCTGCTAAAGCATTAGATGATGATGCTTGGGCTAATTCTGAGATTGATTGAATAGTTTGGCTTGAATTTTGATTTCTATTAATTTGTTGTATTATACTTCGTTGAGATGACGTTGAAGATGATTGACCACTTGTGCTTGCTGAAATCTATAATTAATATGTGAATTTGAATACTAGAAAATATCAAATCCCTGACTAACAAACACATTAAAAATTATAGTAGATGATGGGAGAAATATTTTATGAGCATGGATAAATATTAGGCCAGATCACTTTAAACGATCAAGCAAAAAAATCCATCCTTACTAAACTTGGTTTAAGCTCTAATATTTTTTAATTCAAATAATAACATCAATTTACAACCTCCCTCTCTCTTTGTCTACGGTCAGAAACGGCTGAATCAATTGGTTGGCAAAAATGAGGAAAATTTGAAGGTCTATCAGGGTTTGAATTGATTAAACGTCCTTGGCGAACCTTTTGAATCAAAGAAATTCAATTTATAATTTATCTAAAAATAAGGTTACAGCAATTTTTGGAATTCTCCTTCCATCATTATAACGTTTAGCATGCATACAACCAACACATTTGTAATAAGCTGTTTCTATTCCACGTTTATCCTGATAGGAAGAGGAATAGCAAAATTCCTAGAAAATTTTAATACTCAATGAATTTAAAACTACTAACAAATCTCTTTCCTGGCTGTAAAACACTCTCATATAAAACCATCCTTCTTTTATATTTGGTTTTCGTTCTTACATTGGTTTTCGTTCTTTTGGCTTTACGCTTAAAAATCGTAATTCCTTAGGTTTGCCAACATTTGAAAATATTTTTATGTTAAACATGATTGTCATATCTGGCTCATGATCCTAAATGGTAATTAAATTTATTAAAGATTTCTTAACGAAAACAAAGATCATCCCTTTTATCCTTGTTTATCTTTAATTTAGAATATTTATTACCATAATATTTTTTAGATTTTTTCTAAGTAAGTCTTGTTTTTAGCTGTGCTATTTTAATATAGCTATATTTAGATAATATTTTTTTAATTTTTAAAATTTGTTTATATTTTCTGAATAAAAATAAAATCTATTTAAAAAACAAAATAATATACTATAATTTATAACGTAGTGAAGTTCTCTAGATAAATATATACTAATTAATTTTTTTATCGGAATTTAAATTAATGATTCATCAAAATATTCACCGTATTCTCTTAAATAATACCTTAGCTCAAATAATTACCCCCGTGCAAGAGGTTTAAAAAATAATTACTATCTTAAAATTTCTTTAATTGGCTTTTCTAAAACAACCTTAAATGTTTATCTTATACCTCTTAATTACCCTCTCCAGCGTGATGGGGTAATTAATTTTCGAACTAATGATTTTGAAATATGTTTAAGTGTCAGAGTATATATTTACTTGAAAATAAAGAAGCTTATTTTGGCAGATATTTAAAAAGAACGAACTAAGAAACTCCATTATTTTATTATGTTTTTTTTTATTTCATTTTATCACAATAATTCTTTAATTTAATTTAAATTTCTAAAGAAAAATCTCAAAATATTTATACTAATTTTTAGATGGCCGTATTGTCTCGATCCCCCCTCCCCCACTCGAAAATTTTATCTCGATTAATCGCCCTCTCCCTACCCCTCTAACGAAGAGTTGAAACAATAATTACCCTCTCTCAAAGTTCAAAACTCGTTTAAAGTAGTTAGTCATACGTACTTATTCCATTTTTTACCGCACTTTCCTAAAGGTTTAGGCTTGTCTGGGTGCCCCGCCCCTTTTTCTTTGATCTTTGCCGCCAAACCTATGCCTGTGGGAGGGGTCTGTAAATTTTTCAAAGGGTTTTGAAGGGGTCTGGGGGAGGGGTCCGAAAAATACAAAGGGATTTCCTTTGATCTTGCCGACAAATTCCAAGGTGTGAAATTTCACACCTTTTTGTTTCTTTGATCTCGCCGACAAGCACAACTTATTCCATTTCTTACCGCACTGGGAGTGCGGTAAATCGTCAAGGTGTGAAATTTCACACTTTTTTTCCCTTTGATCTTACCGACACAATCAATTTGTTCCAAGGTGTTGGGGGAAGGGTCCGACGAGTTCAAATTTGACAAACTTAAGGTGTCAATTTTCACACTTATTAACTCTTGACCGTTAAAAATTAATAAGAAATTTAAAACACAAAATTAATTATTTGAATTTTATTTAAATGAAAATTAAAAAAAAACATTGTTTCATGAATTTTGATAAATGATTAAAAATTAAACCAATTTTTTTGATTTTTCAAAATTTTGGTTTTAAATAAACTGCGAAAAAAAAAGTTTAATATAAAAAAATTGGTTTATTTATTTAATGAAATTAATAAATATTGGGGAAAATTTTAAAAAGATTATTAATTCACTAAAAAAAATTTTTTTTTCAAAATATTAAAAAATTTTTCAAAATTTTTTTTCAGTATAGTAAAAAAATTTTTCTTCGAAATAATCGGAAATTTTTAAAATTTCTTCAAAAAGTTTTTTTTTTCAAATCAGTAAAAAAAAATTTTTTTTTAGTAAATGAAAAATTATTGGTCTAAAATTAAAAAAATATTATTTTAATTAAAGAAAAAATATTTTTAAAATTAAAAAAAAACGGGTGGTGGTATTAAGAAAAAAATTTTATTGAAAAGGATTTTTTAAATTATTAAATGAAAAATTTTTTTTAATAATTAAAAATTGTTTTTTTTAATATTTAAAAATTGTAAACAAATTTCAAAAAATTCTTTGTTTAAATTTAAAAAATATTATTTTGATTGAAGAAAAAATATTTTTAAAATTAATAAAAGAATTGTTGGTATAAGAATTTCAAAAATTCTTTAAAATTCACTTTCCTCAAAAAAAAAGAATTTCGAAAAATTCTTTAAAATTCACTCGATTCATGTTCTTCTTCTTCTTCTTTTATATTTTTGAAGAGATAACCTGTTTTTGTAATATCAAAAGCAGGTTGATTAACTTTATAACGTAAATCATTCACATCTTTAAATAAAAAAATATTTAATAAAATTTTTTAATTAGAAAAAATTTTTATAGAAAACATTTTTATAAAAAATTTTAATAGAATTTTTATTAAAAACTTTTCATGTATAAATAAAAATTTTTTATAAAAATTTTTTTATAAAAATATAATAATTTTTATAAAAATAAAAATTTCCTAAAAAATTTTTAATATTATAAAATTTTTTAATATTTGAAAATTTTAAAAGATTACTTGTTTCAATGTTATTGAGGATATTAAATATGTGCATGATATCCTCATTGAAGATTATGTGTTGTCGTTTAAGTGAATTAACTTTTGAATCTATTTCTTTTAAACTAATTTCTTTATCAGATAAAAATTTTTTTTCATTGATAATGAACTTCCCAACTAAAGAGAACTCTTGTCCTGTGACTTTTTTGAGTAATTTTAAACGTAAACATTGTTTCAGAATTTTGGTTATTATTGTATTTACTTAAAAATTAAAAAATTTGTTATAATTTTTAAAACTTTTTTTTTTAATTTAAAATATTTTTTTATTTTAAAATATACCGTTTTTGTACTCCAATTTAATTGGAAAATGTTTGTAGATGTATTTTAATATAAACTGTTTTGAACCCCCAGATGAATTTTGTAAGGCGCAAAAGATCATCTGAATTTTTAAATTTTAAAATAGAAAATTATCTTTTTTTTTTTTTTTAAATAAAAATTAATATTTTATAAAATTTAAAAATTAATACTTTTTTGAATGAGATTTTAGCATTTTGTTCTTTATTGCCAGTATAATTTATAAAATTATTGTTCCTTTTTGGTGTCATAATAATAAACTTAAATTTAATAATTAAATAAATTTAAACAAAAGCAAATTATGTTTTTAAAAATTAAAAAATTATATAAATAAGATGTAATTAAATATGAAAAACAAAAAAATAATAAAAATCAGTAATAGAATTAATAATAGAATTAATTTAATAGAATTTGGGTTTTATATTAAGTAATCAATTTTCATGAAATTAATTAAAATTAATAAAAATAAATGAAAGTTAAACTAAAAAAAATTCTATTGAATAATAAAAGAAAGTGAATCAAAATAAATAAAATGAATCTAAAAATAAAGAAATTCTATTGAATAAATAGAAGAAATAGATGTAAAAATTTTAAAAAATTTTTAAATTGTATTGTATTAATGTATAAAAATAAATAATGTATAAAAAATAAAGAAAAAATATAAAAAGAAATATTAATAATATTTTTAAATTTTTCAGATAAAATAAAATAATGAAAGTATTTCCGATAGGGATATAAAATTTATATTCCAGCCTTCGGACCGTCTTTGTCGCGTGCATATATTAGACAAAGGCGGTCCGAAGGCTGGAATATAAATTTTATATCCCTAGAGAATTATTTTCAAATGTAGTGCGGTTCCTTTATATAATTTCATGAAAAAATTTTTAAATTATTTATTTATATAAATAATTTACTTAAATCTAAAATCTTTTTAAAATTTTTCCCCAATAAAATGTTTGAAAAAAAAAACAATAAAACTAGAAGGAAATAAATGGAAGATGAATTAAATGAATAACTAAATTAAAAGAGGCAAAAAAATATTTAAAAATGAGATTGAAAGAAATGAAAAAATGAGATTAAAAAAATTTAAAAAATTTTCTTTTTCAAAAATTCAATATATAAATACCTTCAAATTTAATCCGAAACAAGCAAAATCAAAGCCTGTTTCAGCAGTTCCACTTCTCAACATTCTAGTACCAAAATCAGATGATCCACTTAAAGCCGTTGCAGCAAATTCATAACCTCTACCATTTAATAAAACGAAATAAACCTTAAAAAAGAAAATATTTTTTTCTGATTAAAAATGATAAATTACTTCACAAATCTGTCCATTTTTGACTGGAACGATAGTTTGTTCACTTCTTCCATTTTGATCCTCAGATTGAACAGAAATTTGACATTTTCTATAAAATAGTACATTTAGTTTATTTAAAAATAAAATAAATAAACAGACCCTGTATGTGATTCATTCTCTGAGGCAAGACTGACTCTGACACGGAAACATGAACTTAAATTATTTGAAAGTTTACAAAAAAAATTTTTATTTTTTCACCTTTCAAAGTCAGGCTTTACAACCAAATCATTTGGAGCCAAAGGTTTAATTGTTTGTGAGGTAGTTGAAGGTTCAAATATTTGCCTTGATTTTTCTGGTATAACCTCAAAAATGAAAGCTTTGCCGGGTAAAATTTGTTGGCAAAGGAGTATTTGTTGTTTGGGGTATAAAACTTCTAACTGAAAAATTTTAACGATAATTATTTATGAAATAAGAAAGGTGAGGGTTTTTAATAGAGAACGATTGGTAAATTAATAATTAATAGCTAACTTAATAATCAATTTAGTCACAAAATTAATATACCTTTAACATAGCTTGTGCACCATGTAACAGTCCATAAGCTATTTTAAACCGACCAGCCCCCGATTCAATAAATAATTGCCATTGAAAAAGAACACATGAAGAATTAATTTCAATAACATTAAGATTTTCAGGTTTTAGAGGACCTTAAAAATAAATTTAAAATAATTTACAAACTAATCTTTATTTACGTGTTGTTTTGCGTCCAGGCTGCATCATCATATGTCGACGAACGGTGTCCCAAAGATAGGAAAGAATTCCAGAAGAGACGGTTACAACCTAAAGTTGAGAAATAGAAAATTTAATACAAATTCAAAGAAAGTTTAGGAGATTCCCGTATCAAAAGAAACACAGCCAACTCCCAAGATCTTTGAGATAATGAGGCAGAAAGTTGACTCAAATTATACCACCTCATGAAATTTGTAGGTTGGTACACTCAAGTAAAGCCCCCGCTGAAATTCGAAGGTTGACGATACCAGCTCTATATTACTTTCCGAAATTTGACACAAGGACCAGGACTGGGTAATTCTTCGGTTTGTATACCCTGGTATCCAGGGGCTGCACTCAACTGATACCCAGGGCTGCACTGCTTAAAAAAATTCCGCAACTTACAACTTTTAGAAATCCACAAACGCAACCCGTAATTGTAAAAACCCCACAATTTACACAATCCACAATTGCGTGCAGCCCTGCCACGGACACACCCTTGTTTGAGCTATAGAGGTGACCAAGCTCATTTAATTTCAAATCTCAAAACCAATTTAAAACCCACAAGAAATAAAATCAAAAGGAAAACCTGAGAAATAATCCAGCTCACAAAGTTCAATTTCTGTCCATCTTTAGCAAAATACATCGTTGCAGTGTCAAAATCGCCAAAATATGCCGCACGATAGATGATAATGCCCTTAACAAAGGCAAAGAATCCAGCCCTTAAAATAAATTTTGAAAAAAAAGTTTCTCTAACAATATTCATGAAAGTTTATACTTTGTAACGTCCGCGACCAAACGAGTACGAGCAAAATCCAAAAGATAGACAAAGGCCAAAGAAGTAGCGTCAGCAGCACCACCTGAAGCCAAGTTCATCAAAAAGAATTTGCCAAACTGTTTGTTCTTGTCAACACTAGAAAATGGAGAGTTAAAACCCACTAGATAAGGCATAGATGCCCGTAACAGGGGTCAAGCAAAGGGCTTTCCTGGTTAAGGGTCGTGTGTCACAGGTCACTTCAAGACCTGATAACCAAACCTTTATCAACCAGAAACCCAATCCCAAAAAAAGCCCGAAAACCCCGACCCGAGCTTTTCCTAAACCCAAAACATCTTTAAAAAATACCCTTCCATGAAGATCGTTTTGTAAACGTCCTTGAACGCAAAGTTGAGAGCTTGAGTTGGAAAGTAACAAATCACGTTAGCCAGATTACCACACCAAAAAGCAAGGACTCCCTGTTCTTTGGGCACACGAACAAGCACATCAATTATTCCCATATAGCGATAATCGGCAGTGATGTGCTGAGAAGCGTCTTGAACCTTTAAATGATTGAAAAAGTAAACACCAAAAAGTATCCAAAAAGAAAACGGTAATAGTGTCGTTTCCCAGCCCCCTTTTTTTCCTCCCAATTTTCTACCCTATGTTTGTACGGAATGGTCAAATTTTCCCTTTTCTTTCATCAAATTTGCCTTTCCATATTTTGCCTAAAAAAATCAAAAAGATTAATTTGTGATATTTAAAAAAGTATTAGAGTAATGAGAAGAATCATTTTCCCAATTAATAAAAATGGAAGAACTAAAGAATTTCAAACCTATTGATTTATATGAAAAATTACGTTTGAGTGATAATGATTTCGATGCATGGCTTGAGAAGCTTACTTCTTCATGGAAAGAGAACTTGCTACAAATGTGGGGGTCGAACAACAATAAGTGTTAAGAAAGACGAAAGATATGGATGTTGGCGGTGTACAACCAAAAATGTGTTGGCGGTGTACAACCAAAAATAAAAAATTAATCTTTTTTGATTGTTTTTAGGCAAAATATGGAAAGGCAAATTTGATGAAAGAAAAGGGAAAATTTGACCATTCCGTACAAACATAGGGTAGAAAATTGGGAGGAAAAAAAGGGGGCTGGGAAACGACACTATTACCAAGAAAACCTGTAGCAACAACTTGACACGCTCAATAGGCGCCACAGCCGTTTTAGAAAACTTAAAAAAAAACATAAGAGTAAATGTGATTGTATATAAATGAGGGGTACAGCCCAAATAGGCGCACGGCCATAATGGCGCAAAGCCATAACTTGCTTCAAGATTTTCGAATCATATTAAAATTTTTATTAAACGATTCCTCTCATCGAGCTAGAGATTGGTCCCAAAATTGATAAAAGCCAGAACTTTTTCAACAAGTTATGGCTCTGCGCCGTTATGGGCGCGTCCCAGAAATGAGGTATTCTTTTGATAAAAATGGTTATCCTTAGTTTAATGTTTGATTTTTCATTTGTTACTGATCCTATGGGGCGAATTCCTATTTCTGGGTTCGAAAAATTGTCACTGGCTCAATGGGAGGACCTAACCCTGCGGAGTCAAAAGCACTTCTGAACCCAAGACCAGTCGACAGCAATTTATCAGGGGGAAAACCAAAAGAAAACCTGAAACAATTTTATTGTTTTAATCACAGCGGCAGTTCCTCCAGAAACCAAATCAACCGCTAACTTTTTAGTATCAAAGCCATCCTTCTTTTTGCCACCATCGCCGCCGCCAGCCTTCTTTCTGTCTTGATCGCCCATTTCTGTTTGTTGTTACAATTTGTTAGAATTTAGACAAGAATTTAGATAAAGTCACACAAGGTTAAACTTGTCTTTATACCCTAAAAATATGAAAATTGGATTAAAGAAAAGATAAGCGCGAGTATACTAAAAAATTGGGCAGTTTAAAAAACTGAACTAAAAACCACGCGTAGAAATCGACAACTAACTCAACGTAAAAAAAAGAAAAAGATTGCAGCCCAATATCGATTTATATTACTGTATGAGAATCTTACTGTAAATTTCAAAATGTCGAATTTAATTCGTCAATAATAAAAAATGTCAAAAAAAAACATAAGTTGCCAATTAAAGGAAAAGACAACTGTACAAAAGACCGACAAGGACAAATATGGGTTAAAAGACCGACAAGGTCAAATATGGGTCAAAAGACCGACAAGGTCAAATATGAGTTAAAAGACCGACAAGGACAAATATGGGTTAAAAGACCGACAAGGACAAATATGGGTTAAAAGACCGACAAGGACAAATATGGGTTAAAAGACCGACAAGGTCAGATATGGGTTAAAAGACCGACAAGGTCAAATATGGGTCAAAAGACCGACAAGGTCAAATATGGGTTAAAAGACCGACAAGGACAAATATGAGTTAAAAACCGACACTTTGGAAAAAACCAGATGAGTCCCAGCATAATTATACCAACTGAATCTTCGCTGGAAAAACTGTTTTATGCTACTACGGAAGGTAGGCCGGGCCCTAGGTCAAACTCACCCTGGAGGTCAAACTCAGATATCAGGGTGGATAAGGAAGGATTTGTGCGGATTAGTAAGGATTTTTGAAAATTAATGCGGATAAAGAAAGATTAGTGCGGATTATGATGGATTTGGAGGGATTAAGAAGGATAAAAGCGGTAATGTTGTATAGTAAAATTGTTGTATAGTAATAGTCAAATTTATATCAGATAAACTATTTGTAATTAAAAATATTTAAGAAAAACCATTTTTCAAATAAGATGGTCCCTATTAATTGATTTTCGAAAGAGATGGGCAAGATTTTTCAGTTTTATTTTCCATATATATTTTTGAATTTTGATTTTTACGATTTAGAAATGATTGCATAATAAATTAGTTTTAGTTCAAAAATCCTTTGATCTTTTTATTAGATGCGTGCATATTTAATTAGATTTGTCGAATTTCATTTTTTGATTTATCGATGTTTGCATATTAAATTAGATTTTTTAAAAAATCCTTTGATCTTTTTATTAGATGCATGCATATTTAATTAGATTTGTTGATTTTATTATTTTATAAATGTTTTCATATTAAATTAGATTTTTAAAAAATCCTTTGATCTTTTTATTAGATGCATGCATATTTAATTAGATTTGCCGATTTTATTATTTTTTGAATGTTTGCATATTAAATTAGATTTTTAAAAAATCCTTTGATCTTTTTATTAGATGCGTGCATATTTAATTAGATTTGCCGATTTTATTATTTTTTGAATGTTTGCATATTAAATTAGATTTTAAAAAATCCTTTGATCTTTTTATTAGATGCATGCATATTTAATTAGATTTGCCGATTTTATTATTTTATGAATGTTTGCATATTAAATTAGATTTTTAAAAAATCCTTTGATTTTTTTATTAGATGCGTGCATATTTAATTAGATTTGCCGATTTTATTATTTTTTGAATGTTTGCATATTAAATTAGATTTTAAAAAATCCTTTGATCTTTTTATTAGATGCATGCATATTTAATTAGATTTGCCGATTTTATTATTTTATGAATGTTTGCATATTAAATTAGATTTTTAAAAAATCCTTTGATCTTTTTATTAGATGCGTGAATATTTAATTAGATTTGCCGATTTTATTATTTTATGAATGTTTGCATATTAAATTAGATTTTTAAAAAATCCTTTGATCTTTTTATTAGATGCGTGCATATTTAATTAGATTTGCCGAATTTTATTATTTTATGAATGTTTGCATATTAAATTAGATTTTTAAAAAATCCTTTGATCTTTTTATTAGATGCGTGCATATTTAATTAGATTTGCCGAATTTTATTATTTGATTTATAGATGTCTGCATATTAAAGTAGATTTTTAAAAAATCTTTTGATCTTTTATTAATTTTTTGCATATTAAATTAAATTTGCCAAGATTTATTTTTACGATTTAGAAATGTTTGCATATTAAATTAGTTTATTTAAAGAATCCTTTGATTTTTCTATTAATTGTATGCATATTAAACTAGATTTAAAGTTTTTAAAAAATTTTTATCTTTTAGAGGAAAAATGTTATGATTACATATTTATCATGATTAAAATTAAAAATAGTCATTAAATTTAAATTAGTTTGTTTTAGGTTTATATGGTGTAATTATATCCGAAGTTCTACAATTTTTCTTGAAACACCCTTCACACATATCGAATCGAACTTCAACTCTCTCGCCATTTCTAATCGCCTTATCACTTTTTTTGAATAGAATTTCACGGCAATCTAAAATTCTTGATTATTTCTTAAAAAATACATCATGAAACCTGAACAAAGTGAGAACGTGATCAAATATTTGCCACGAAATAATTTCCAAAATGGTTCGCGTGTTGATTTATTTTCAGACAAATTATTTAATTCATGAGACGCATCAATCTGGTCAATATTTTTCGTGTTTTCCATTTCAAGATATTTTGAGAAAATAAATATGAATGAACTTTTACTGGTAAATTCGTCTATTTATTTGAAAATTTAAGGGGCGTGTCCGAAATTATAGTTAAGCCTATGATTTGAGTATTTAAACTCGAATAATAAATTAATTTTTATCATTTACTTATTTAATTAAAATGGTTCTTATCTCCGAGAAATGTGCAAATATATTATCGTGCCCAATCAAGTCTTTGAGAGATAATCTAAATCACCCAGAGAATCGAAAAATTATACTAAATTCAATCAAAGGTAAAAAAGTTCGTACAACGTATAATGATAAAAATGGGCTAAAAAAGACATTTGTAATTGAGGATTTGTCTGAAGAAGGAGCAAACATTTTACAGGCCTATGGAAGATTGTCAAAACCTTTTAATATATGTGTGGCAGCACATTATTACGCAAAACACCGAATTCGACTTCAATATCCCTATCTTCACTGTATTGTTGAGAAATTCCCAACAAAGAAAGGGGTTTTTAAAGAAAATCGTTACTATCCATTGGAGTTACTCGAGCTAATTAATGAAGACGAACCTATACAAAATCGTGAAAATAACATTTCAAAACGAGAAGAAAACAAACAGACTGAGTTAGTAGTGGTCGAGGACGAAGAGGAAAATGAACAACTGGAAGAAATTTTAAAACCAACTTATTATTGTAATGGATGGTGAAATTAATCAATATTCACAAATTATTTTAACATTTTATTTAAAAAATCAATTAAATGTGACCAAAATTTAAAACAATAAAATCTGATTTTCGTACTATCCCTTTTCCAATAAAGGGTTTGTAAATTTTGTTTCGGGAAATTGTTTTTACATTTAAATTTTTAATTGAAGGGCAGAGAAAGGAGGGGTAAATTATATTAATAGGCTCAACAATTCCTGTTCTAACATATCTGATAACTTGTTTTTTAAAATTTTCATATCTTAATCCCTGATTGTGAGTTACATCAAAGTTCAGAGTCATTCCTCGAACCTTCAGAATGTATTCAAATTCTGGTTGTTGCTGTTCTCCATCAAGTTTTATTAATTTTAACCCATATTGTTTTGCTCCTCCAGATACATATTCTACAATTTGATGTTTTGGGTACTCATCAGTAAACTCTCCGATATGTGCCCCAAGTTTAAGTGGGTTGACATCTTCTGGATGAACATATATTAGAGAGTCGGTATCTGAAATATGTATTTAATCTAATATATCAAAAAAATTTTTACCTGTGTACAAAAGATTACAACCAACAGTACGAACAACTTTTTGCATAGCTCGTAATAAATGAATCCTTGCTGCTGACGTAGTCCACAAGGAGATAACTATAATAATTTTTATCAAAAATTTTAATTTTTCTAATACCAATATTTGAACAGTCATGTTCTTCGATCCATTCTTTATTTTTCATGAAACCAATCAATAAAATTTCAGGAGTTAATTCGTCAACACTTGTAACAGTAATTGACTTATCATCTCTGTATTTCTCATATTCTTCCAAATTATCAGTTATAACGCATTGTGATAGACCAAAATTTCGAAGCGAAAAGCGTCCCCCTTAAGATGAGAAAATTTATAAAAAATTAAAATTTAAAAATACATAGATTATTTAACATTAGCTTGGCTTGGGTTCTCCTTCCCTTGTTAGGGATCATTTTGCTTCGATCAAGTTTAATTCCAAATTTTTCATTACATTCTTCAATAAATTGGCATTCTGCTTCTATATTATCTTTAATATTACTATCGAAGCCAGAAGAATGAATTTTTTGAGCCATAAATTCAGAAATATATGGCTGAAACAATTTGTTGTCGGACTTTGTGTATTCAAGGACGCGAAAAAGTTTTGTCACCATATATCCTTCATCGAGCGCTACATTTAACTCAATCGAAGTACAGGTACTGACCCATCCTCTTTCTTCATCGTTATGGCGACATTGATAATTTTCAAAAACACCTCCTGTGGGATAATTCTTCCTAAATTTTATTTTAAAGTTTATTTAATTTTTAAAAAACAATTTCCTACGCGCAAGCAGCACATAAAGGGAAAAGTAGACGACCATCTTTTTCCAATTTCATAGGAAGAACTGGAACATCTATTTTTCTTGGCGGAATTATAAAAACTTTTAAAATTGCCAAAGGATAATCGTTGTCTTTTGAACTTGTCCATTTAACTATTTTATTGATCACATGGACAGAGGGATGACCAACAGGGTAATTCGTTGTAACATTTATAAACGGGTAAAGCGAGGTCACGTCGTAGTATGAAATTCGTTCTCCGATTTTAGCCTTATGAAGGAGTTTCAAAGGTCCTGTTCTTCCTCCATAAAAACAATTTCGAATATCAATTGGGCCATCATCAATATAGGTGTAAAACTTTCTTTTCATTTCAAAATCTTTTTCCAACATTTGATAAATTTCACATTCCCAATATACATCAACTCTGTTGATTTGGGATTTAATGAATTCCATTCTAAATTGACAATTTTAACAAAATTTTCGTATTTTTTACCGATTTTTATCATGTTCTCTCAGATATCCCGCTGTTTTCCCACTGGGCATAAGTTCATAATCATTTGGAAAGCATTTTGGGCATCCATGCCAGACGCAACCATTTACTTCAATGCCATAATTTTCCTCCTCAATCCAACCATCTAGATGGTAATTTCCAATTCTAAAATTTATTTTTTAATGATAATAATTTTTAAATAATATTGACCTCTTCTCGCCACCTTCAGAGTTTACAGTTCGGACAGTTACATTATATTTTTCAGAATACCATTTGAAAAATCTTAAAGCAAGAAGGCTTTGGTTTCCATCAACCTTATCATAACCGCGTTCTGGTACAAGAGCCAAATGTTCTTCTTTAAGATGGTTAGTTCGAAAATGTTTCATACAAGCCGAGGCGATGGTCATTGCCTCACGAAGAACATCTATTCCGTCATGTCCTTTAGTTGATGCGGCTCTTTCGCCAGATTTACGTTTTGTGACCTTAAAAAATTTCATTACTTATAAAAAAGTTAATGATACCTCTAAAAATTCTTGACGAAAAGCAATTAAGGCGGCCATTAATATTTCCACATCGTTGGTACAGTAACTGGCTAAAGCCTCATCAAGAAAGAAAGGCACATTCTTATTTTGCCCATACCAGTTATCAAAAATTTTCCTCTTATTTGGCATCATTCCATCAGCAATGTAATCAGATTTTGTTGGATAAATTTCTTTTCCATAATTTTCCGGACGATTAGCCATGTGTGGAAAAAATGGTTTATCTTCAACATCAAGACCAAAAGCTGGAACTAATGATGCAAGTGGCATTGGCATTAAATTAAAGGCATCTCGGAAAATGATACTGTTCTTTTTTAATTTAAACTTCATTTCATACATTTTATTGCCTTTTTTCAGAACTTCTGGTGTTATTCCCTTCTTTACCAATTCTTTTAGTGTTATAATCATGTCAAATCTTCCACCAAAATGTGAGAAAGCAAAGATGTCACAATTTTGGGGAAGATCATTTATTATCCAGTTGACAAAAGATGAAAGTGGAGAATCATTTATTATCTTCTTATCAACAAATGTTTCATTAAACGATTGTTGAGAAAAAGTAATAGTACGGTTCAATCCACAAACGTTGCAGTTAAAATTATTATTTGTCAAACTTTGTTTCCATTTACCATTTAAAATACAAGATGGGCAGGCAACTTTAGCAGCAATAAAGTTAGGTTCGTGAACTGATGAAAGTTGTGTTGTTTCAAAATCAAATGCTACAATTCTATAAGTTTCATTTTCTTTTGCTTCCAATGGTTTAATATAACAGCCACGTTTTGGGTCATGGAATTCATTACATGTAGTACAATATTTTTCTGTACAAATATGTCCTTTTCTACCATTTTTAGTGTTGACATGGACATTCCAAATCACCCCGCACTGATTACATTTTTTGGAAATACCACAAAAATTAATTTTCAAATGATGTAAATAACATTCCTTGTTGTTAAAATTTTTAAAGCATAAAATACAATGTTTGAAGAAAATATTGTCGGGCTGGCATGGAAATTGGGGACCAACACGAGAACAAAGTTTGCAGCGAGCAAGACAGTTTGTGGCATGTAAACTCGGACGACTATAAACAGTCTTACATGAAAGACAATAGGGTTTTCCGAATAAATAGCCGTTTTTCTTTAAAGAATAGAAATGTTTTTCGTTGTCGTTAAAATAAAGAATAATCGGTGTATCGTAGTCAGTGGGGCCATAAGAATATTCTGGTTGATAATTGCCACGGTCTTCGAATATAAAAACCTTTACAGAACATTGGTCTTTACAAATTATGTTGTTCCAATGATCAACAACACGTGGCACCCAAATAAAAGCATCATATTCTTTAAGACCTAATTTTGCCCCAACTTGGTTCATTAATTGGTATGTATATTTTTGAAAACGACCTGACATTCCATATAAATTATGTATATAATTAAAGTATTTTTTAGCTGGCCATTTGCATAAATATTGAACAAGTGAAGCGATTAAAGCAAAGAATAAACAATGGTTTTTGTTGTCAGGGCTGTTAAATTTAATGAGCGAGCCCCTATTAATTTGATGTTGAACTTTTGCTATTTTTCTACGTGCAGCTCCCCCAATTAATCGTCGTTTCTTAAAACTATTCTTGTTGAGTGTTGTTACAGTAATGTTAAAAGGTGATCCCCAAATTGTCGTTTCATTTTGTTTATTACTTTGAGCTATGTGTTGACAGCGATTTAACATAGCATCAATAGTGTTGTTCGTTAAATCACTGAATAAAATTATTTATAAAGGAAAATCTTTATCAACCTGAACGGAACCCATATATCATACTGTAACATATCACTACTCAACGTGCATGCAATTTGTTCTGGTTTTACATTTTTCTCCCGTGCATGCTCAAGAGCCTCATCAACGCAAAATTGAAAAATCCCTAAGTTTAATTTTTATTTTTACACCCCATAAAAAATTTTACCAGAAAGAAGCGACTCGGGGTCGTTAGGTAACTCCTTGATAGAAAATTTTGAATAAGTCTTTATAATATTAAATTTGGCATTATGCCATGTTGAATTATTAAGACGTTCAATAAATCGTTCAGCGTTGCTTCCATCTCCTTGTTGTTCAAGACCAAGAATTTTAGCAATAGTGAAGTTTTGATTATTTTTTGATAAATTTTTCATATTGAAATATTAAACTAAAAAAAAAAGATTATTTAAATTAATATAGAAATGAATTAAAATAGAAATTTTGAGAATTTATATAGAGATAAACCCCGCCCATTATTTTTCAAGTTTTATATCGCACTTTTTGACAAACATTTCCTCTTTTTTAATTCCCACAAACAAGTTTGTTTAAAATTTAAAAAATCTAGAATATTTTTAAAAATAATGAAGGAAAATCTAAAAAGGAAGATGAAAGAGGATGAAGACCAGACAGAAATAATTCGATTATTAGCAGTTAGCTTAACAATTAATTAATAAATACAATTTTTTCATTTAGGGAACCATTTCTTATCGATACTTCCAACGTCGAGATTATGTAAATTTTATTGGAATTTCTTTCAAATATGGTAAAAAATTGGACCTTGGAGCAAGAATAAGCTTCTTACTCAACTATTTTAAAGCCGGAAAATGGTGTCAGGACTGTCTAAAATTTGTTTTATCGCGCA